CACTTAATAATTTTTTAAATTTAATAATTTAATACAATTTGAATTTTATAACATATTTTTGTTAATTTTTAATTGATACTCCGAACGGACTGTCAAAACAGGACTGCCATTTTGTATGGTTCAGACTGTGCAATCAGTACACAATTTTTTTTTCTTAGAGGAGAAGGACAGAGAGAAGAAATTCATAAACCTGTTGGCTTTCGGGATTTTAAAAACACAAGCGAGACCACAACATAACTTCTCTATCTCCAGAAATTGAAATTTGAACAGCCAATTTTTCAAAATATTTTGAATCTGCACAAACCCTTACACCAAAAATAAAAAAAAAAAAAACAAAAAAAAGTCAGATCCGAATACGGTTCGTGTTCGTCTGTCTTTCTATTTGCTCTAAAAGCTTCGATCGCTGCGGCTTTCTCCTCGAGCATCGACAAATTCCTGTTTAGGAATGGAGGCGATCGAAGAATTGTCTGAGCTATCGGAGTCGATGCGGCAAGCATCTGCTTTGCTTGCCGATGAAGATGTTGTTGAGGAGGAGATCTCATCCTTGTCCAAGCGTTCTTCCACTTTCCTTAATGTCGTCGCCCTCGGCAATATCGTAAGCTCCTCTTCCTCTTATCTGTTTGTTTATTGGATCTTGTAGATTTTGTCTTCTCTCAGATGAAGATCGGAAATTCTTTGGTGCGGAAAGTGTAAATGATGGAAGTTTTGAAATTCATCGGGGAAAACTCCATGTTCTTCACCCCATTTAGTTCAATTGAAATCTAATTAGAATATCCCTGGTAAAATAGGAATTGATCAAAGAATACTTCTTCAGTTCTTAATAAGGCTGGATATTGTTCAGAACACAAGTTCTGGATTCATTAAGGAAAGGAAAATGTGCAAGCCACAGAGTTGGACGGTGCTTGGTTTTTCATTTACAGTTTGCTTTGGGACATTAATTGTTAATAATTTTTAGAATGGATTTGTTGTAGATCACCGAGTTATACTTGTGGAACCTCATGGATTTGACATTAACTAATGTGCTACAATGTGCCTCCTTTATGGTTTAATTTTGATCAAGAAGTACTAGGTCTATTCAAGTTATTGAGAAAGGTGTGGAAAGATAGATGGTTGTTTTTGTAATTATTTCCGTCGTAATCATGTTGAGAATTTAAGATCTGGTCAGAATCTTCCTTGCTTCTGTGCATTTCCCCATTGCCTCCTTTTCTTTTGCTTTCTTTTTTCTTTTAAATGTGATTCATTTGCTTATATTGTCACCTCTTTATGTTGGTCGGTTGGATGCCGCCTTTGGTCTTGCTCAATCAGATTACTAATGTCCCAACAAGAGATTTTGCTTTCTCATTGTTATGTTGCTCTAGTGAGACGGGTTTGATATTGGCTTTCTGATAAGATGTAACTTAATAAAACATTGAGAAACATAACGTAGTCTGAAGTTTTTTGTTTAAATCTCTTCATATCCATAATAATTAATTTTATTCTCATCCTGTGACATAACTGGCCAGGGAGCTGGTAAATCTGCCGTTTTGAACAGTCTCATTGGACATCCTGTTCTGGTAAGTTTGATTCTGTTTGAGCTTTTTGCATTTTGTTAAACTTTTTATTTTTTATTTTTATTTTTTATTTTTCGTCACTTTTGTGGACATCTACTGACAACAGTATTTATTGGCAGCCAACAGGTGAAAATGGTGCCACTCGAGCTCCCATAAGCATTGAGTTGGCTATGGATAGTTCTTTAAGCAGTAAATCGATCATCTTGCAAATAGACAATAAATCTCAGACAGTATCTGCAAGTAAGGCCTCCTTCAAATTTTTAATGGCTTTTCATTTAATTTTTGTGGCTTGTTTGTGCCTGGTAGAAAAATACCCTGCAAATCTGTCTCTTGATCTTTCTTTGGTGCACATAGGTGCTCTGCGGCATTCCCTACAGGATAGGCTAAGCAAGGGTTCGTCTGGAAGGGGTCGTGATGAAATATATCTGAAGCTTCGCACCAGTACAGGTTAGCCTCCATTTTTTTTAATGCAATTTTTATGTTGCATTAATGGTTAGAATTAAAAAAATGGCCCACCTTTTAATTGATGTTACTTGCAAAAAGATCGTGTATTTGGAAAGAGTTTTTAATCTTAACCATCTCTTGAAGTAAAATCCTTAATAATTGAATATAAGCTCACTTTTCAAAAGGTCCCGTCATGTCTGATGGAGCCACAATGTCTTGTTTATGATCTCCATTATCTCTCCTTACTTGCAACTCCATTGTTTTGTAAATTGTGTGATCATATTAAGGTGGGCAGAGAGTCCAGTTACACATGCATGCATGATTTTTTTTTTTTTTTTGAAAAAATTTAACACTCTCCTGGCTTCCTATCTCCAGCGCCACCATTAAAATTGATTGATTTACCTGGACTGGACCAAAGGATCGTGGACGATTCATTGGTAAGTATGCCAAATGGTTTGTTCTTTTGATTTCAAAAGATAGAAGTGGGTGGTTCTATTCTGTGGTGTAGTTCTTCATAGTCTATTCTTTGGGACATTGCCATTTTTACAGATTTAGTTGTTTGGTTAATCTGACTATTTTGTCTTGCTTATTGCCAGCTCAGTGAGTACATTGAACATAATGATGCTATTTTGCTGGTTATCATACCTGCTGTTCAGGCACCAGAAATTTCATCATCACGCGCACTTAAGATTGCTAAGGAATATGATTCAGAAGGTAAGCCTTTTACTTACCTTGCATTTACCTAGCTCTTTTCTTTTTCCCCCTTATTGGTTTGTCTAGGGTAGTGGTGATGGGTTAAATTAAAAACTATTTTCTTCCTTCAGAATTTTCATTTAGTTTCAAGTCTTTTCTTTATCATTTTCATGGATTGATTGATTGCAGGTACCAGAACTGTTGGTGTTATTAGTAAAATTGATCAAGCAGCTTCAGATTCAAAAGCCCTTGCAGCGGTTCAGGCTCTGTTAATGAATCAGGGGCCAACAAAGACTTCTGATATTCCTTGGATTGCTCTTATTGGTCAGACTGTTTCAATTGCTTCTGCTCAATCTGGAACTGCTGCATCTGATAATTCCTTAGAGACTGCTTGGCGAGCAGAGAATGAAAGTCTAAAATCTATTTTGGTTGGGGCTCCGCAAAGCAAGCTCGGTAGAATAGCTTTGGTAGATGCCCTTGCTGGCCAGATTCGTAATCGTATGAAACTCAGGCTTCCAAATCTCCTTTCGGGGTACCTTCTTTTCTCCATTTGATTATCTCCCTTGGTTCCTTTTAAGTTATTTTGGAAGTCTACTACCACTTCTTCTTGGTATTGCAGCTTAAATTTTTCCTGGTTGTGACTCAGTGCTGTTTAGCTTTTTACTGACACCTGTACATAGTGCATAAAAGTAGAAAGTTTTGTAAATTAAGATATAAGTGCTACTGTGGCATGAGATTATCCTGCATATTGTGGCTCCAAGGTCTCCTTTATTGTCATGGCCCCTTAAAAATTCTTCAACTACTTCTAAATGTCAAAGTATTTATCCACCTGAAAAAACTTCTGTAATCAATTCTTTTATCTCTTTTCTCTTGCTTATATGAATAACTTAAACCTCTAATTGGGACTACTCTTTGGTTTATTGAATTTTCTTCATTGCCATCTTTTTGATTGTTAACCTCTTAGGTTGTGTTCTTGTTAGACTAATTTGTTCATGGACTTAAGAACGAAACTGTTCTGGGTTTTGCATATATTTTGTAGAACTTGTTTTACTTATATTCTGGTGCAATCAACTAGTTATAATGTCTTCATTAGGTTTCTTATGCTTTCCTTTATTGAGAATTTGCAGGCTTCAGGGTAAGTCCCAAGTAGTTCAGGATGAATTAGTGAGGCTTGGTGAACAAATGGTTCATAGTGCTGAAGGAACTAGAGCAATAGCATTGGAGCTCTGCCGTGAATTTGAGGATAAATTTCTCCTACATATAACTGGTGGCGAAGTGAGTTTACTTATTTTGAAAACGAACTTCAAATTGTTATACCTTGAAGTTCTGTCTATGTTATGGGCTAGTGCCTATGGGATAAAAATCATCTCTGAGAATGTTTATTTTTTGTTTTGTGCCTTAATTTATTTGTTAGAAATTATATTAAATGTTATATGACATACAGTGGCATTAACTTGTAAAAAATTTCGAGCTACTTTGTGGTTCTTCAGCTAGATAACTAAAAATCTAGTATCATAATATAGAATTTGTATTCAGTTTTTCTTTAGGTAATATGCATACAATCTCTGAACGCTAATATCCTTGTTAAGAGATAAAAGAGGCTAAAGATATGTCTGCATGCTTATGATAATATGTTATTCAAACTGACTTTCTTAGAAGCCCCTCAAAAATAAAAAAACTGTCTTTTATAAACTCTATCTGCTTGTCTAATTCAACATACTTTGATGCTCCGGCCTTGCTTCCATGGTCATTTTT